ACACTCAACACATTTAACAATCATTCTTCAATTCACACGATACTTCACATATATTAACATCATCATACGGCATAACAACTGCTCTGTTCCTTATCCGGCAATCACACAACCTTTACATTTCATATTCCAACATATAAACAATTCATATAGTTCAAGTCTATGCGACTCTAATCAATCGGCACAATAATAAGTACATATAATTACACTAATATGACATAGTAGGGGTACACAAAGAAGGCTGCAATCACTTAAATGAAATTGTACAATACATATTCAAATAAGAAACATGAAAAGTTCTAGAGAGTGAATGGAAATTGTGATGTAAATTGCACACAGAAGGAAAGAAAGGGTCAATTCTTACCATAAGGACAAGTGATAATTTATCTTTCAAAACATGTATACAATTCACGTTGAAATGAACTAACTCAGAATGGTAAGAATCCTTTTTATTAGCAAAACAAAGTGTGATTATCAATTGAAGAACAAGCACAAAAAAGGCATACAATCTTAATTTAGAATTGTTGTAGGGAAATTTAATAAACTTATATTGCAATAAAACTATCAAGGCAAAAACAAAAAAATAACTAAAATTGTTTATGCATTTTAAAACTTAAAGTAACAGAGGAAAGATTGAGCAATGCCAACCCCTTGCATGATAGTGTTTCACAATTCAAAATTCATGTGCTCCTCTTAATGGGACTGAGAGCATGGTCTGCACAAAGATTCACAGCCATTTCGAACAAATTAAGAAGAGATATGTAATTAAAATTGACCATATAATAAAGTGCAGGATCTAATTACAACTAGAAAATAAAGGAAAACAATAAATAGCAAAAAGTATTGAAGTGAAAAGAAATAGCATGCTTGTTATTTACAAATATAGAAAACAGAAAAAGCAATAAAATCCTATTCTAATCGTCTGCATCTTCTTCCTCTGAGATCTTCTCTTTTTCATCATCATCCTTTTCCTCTTCATCCTAGGACTACTTCTAGGGGTGTGTGCCATAATGCTGCAAAAAGGGAAGGTTAGTGTGCAGCTCAACAGACAACTTAATGAATGTGCAATTAGTCAAGTTGGTGTCAATGGTAGGTGCAGAATAGAGCAAGATTGTTCACTGTATATTGCAGAAGATTATGGTTGTTCAAGACCAATTGCATCCCACTCAGATATTCAATACAATTCAGCAGAATGTAAGATGGTAGTGTAGCAACACAGAGGAACAAGGCATGTGATGGAAGTCTAAGGTTCAATCTTAACAATTAACAAAGTGTTGCTGGTCTATAGTCATAGTGAACAAAATGTGCTAATCGTGTAGAGCGAAAATTGGACAATACTGTGCTAATCATGGAATGTGTAACTATACCTAGGCTAAGTGATCCCAATTGTGTAGCAAACACATTGTTCAGCACGATCATAATTCAAAATATTAGGTAACTTACCTAGGTAAACATTAAAATACATCCAACACAGATAAAGAATAATGCAACAATGAAGTTCCATCAAACTAGGTGAAATCATAGCAAAAATCCATGTAGAAATAGTGGTTATGTGGTCTGGTCTGGGTGGGCAAAGTGATCACTATGCATGGTGAAAGTAATCACTCTAGTTGTTGTTCAAACATGAGTGCAAAAATAGCAGCAAAATCTGGTAATTATGCATGCAATCTCTTATTTTAATTCAAGTCAATCAACAAATTCAGAAATTGTAGCAGTAATTCAGCAATTAAGGCCTAGGAACTTTTTCCTAATTATATACAAGACCCCTAATATGAAAATGTGAAAATTAGAGGAGTTACCTTGAAGAGAGAGTTCAAAGAAAATGAGAAGGGAACATGAGGTTTGGAATGAAATGAAATTTTCATGCTGAAAATCTCTTAAATACCCATCAGCCCCGCGTGCTTTTGCTTGAGCAACGCATTTCTCGCCTGGGTGAGCTCCATCTCACCTGAGCGAGATATGCAGACATTGATTTTCCTAACTATTTTCTGATATGCTTGCTTAAGCGAGCCCTATCTCTCCTGAGCGAGATGACGTCCAAAGAGCAAGATATTTTTTCTATGAGCCCTCGCCTAAGTGACTCATTTTGCCTGAGCAAGATCACTCTCGCCTTGGTGAGGTGACAGTTAAACTGAATTTATCCTATCTCACTTGAGCGAGAATCATCTCGCCTGAGCGAGATTACCCTAAAATCCTGTGGATTCTGGGTGCTCAGTCTTGCTTGAGCGAGGTCCCCTGCACTAAACCTCTTCTAAAAATTTTCACAATTCACTTTTAAACACATTCTAATACTATTTAAGATCAAAGAAAACATCATTTACTAAATAATGAAAAAAAGGGTGTTACAACATTAATCAAATATTTCAACATACATTATCATCCTTGGCGCATATATCACAGCACTTCAGCGTGTTATATTCTACCACAACATTCCAAACATTCATTGACAACAAGGAAATTTACATCAGCCATACATGCTCTGGTTGCTAACCTAATGTTTTCTCATATACTAACTTATTCTTGATTAGAACAAAGTTAATACATAAATAGCTCAGCATTCACTAAGCAAATAAAGCCAACTCAGGTAAGCTCCCCTTACCTGGAATGAGTTTTCTTCAGATCAAACTTCACGTGAGTCCCCAAGGAAAGAAACAACGCTCGCAGTTTAGATTTTCTCACTATTAAAAATTAGAGACTTAGAGAAGAGGAACCCAAGAAATAAAACCCAAAGTTGGAGAATAAGGTCTCCAGATCTCACCTAGATCTGCACTAAACAAAGGTTCCTACTTGGATCGGGAGGAAGTTCGGCTTCGAAAAGATTTTCTCTAAGGGATAAAGGTGAAAGAACAGACAGAGAACGAGACAGAAAAGTTGTCTCATGAGGGCACGTGCGCTCTCGCTTAAGTGAGCTAATCCTCACTTAAGCGAGCCCTACTTTCACTTGGGTGAGCTTATCCTTGCTTGGGACGAGAAAACCAGATAGTAGAATCCCGTTAATTTCTACTATTCTCACTTGAGCGAGGAACGTCTCGCCTGAGCAAGCTGCATCTCACCTGAGTGAGATTTGGTCCAAAGAGCTACCCATTTATCTTGTGACTCCTCACTTAAGCAAGTTGCTCTCGCGTGAGCGAGGTCACTCCTCGTCTGAGCAAGATCCCTTCTCACCTGAGCGCTTGAGCGAGAACGCTCTAGAATGCTTGATTCAGCGTGACCTAGTCTCTCTTGAGTGAGAATTACCTCACTTGAGTGAGACACCCTACACCTAGAACTCCCAATCTCTCTCCTGAATGAGATAATACTTGTTCTTGAGCATAACTCCTAGATTATCCTATGCACAACATGCTTAACAATCAATCTCTAACTTGCTATGCATATCACCTTTAACAACATCATGTCACAACACTTGAGAATATATTGGTCCTTATCTGGTAATTATAAATTTTTTATATTCATATTCCAATCATATGAAAATTCATACACTTTAAACATACACGACACAATTCAAATGGAATAATAAATACATATAAATACACGGATCTGACATTAACAACCATAAAATTTTCAAAAATTTTCATAATCATCTTCTAGGAATATTTTGGTAATTTTGGCCAACTTTGTAACTTGTATTATTTTATATTTTGGTTTCTTTTGAACTCAATATAATTCTTGTATTCCCTAATTTAGATGATCTAAAATCATTTAAGATAATTTTGCTAATTAACTTCTACTAAAAATTGGATTATACATTACTTAATCCTTCCTTTATTGACTCTCTTTTAAGTAAATTGATATGATTAATTCCTAACTTTTGTAGGAATTAATTTAAAACTCGTATTTATCATATATCTAATTGATCTACATTGTAAAAATTTTATACTAACAACACATTAAAACTAATGAGTGCTTTATTTCAGTGACTATCTTAGAACATTAATTTACATACCAACAGGAATATTTGTTTTGCACACTTAAGATTTATTCACATCATTGATTCATAAAAATTAATTTAGTAGTGCATGCAATGCATAAATATTTTATTTTAAAATATATATACAACTTAATAATTAAATAATAAAATTTTATAAATAATTATATAATATAAATTTATTTTAAACAATAACTTTCTTTTAAAACATTTTTTACTTGTCTTTAAAGTTATGAATATTATGAATTAAAATGATAAAAATCTAATAAAATTAAATAAATTTAAAATAACATTTATTGTATTCTATAAAAAAAATGTTTAAATTAAATGTTAATAATTAACATATATTAATATTCATAAATTTGAGAGATAATACTCTTAAAAGTAAAGTCAAATTTTAAAATATTAAAAAATTAATACAATTTTTATAAATGTAAAAATAATTATTTATATAAATTAATAAGAAAAATTTAAGTAACAATTTTAATATTAAAAATTAAGAATAAAATTAACTAAAGATGTTGATAAAAAACTAATAAAACCATTAAAGTGTTGAATTAAAAAGAAGAGTAGTTCTAGTAAATGGTTCACTTTCTAAATAGTAGATTCTCATTTATAATATAAAAGTTGATAAAAGTAATAAATATTACTAAATATTGTTAGTTAATTTAGTTAATTTGTTAGTATTCATTTGATACAAAACTTTTCTTTTAGCTTAAACAATTTTATTTGAATCCTTTTCAGCTTTTCTGCATCTAGTTATCTAGGGTACACAAGAGAGAAAGGGATGATGAAAAGCAACAAATTTGAAAGAATTAGAAAAAAGAACAAACAAAAACTGAATTTATTTTGTATGCTCGAAAAGGAAAAATAATCATAAATTTTCAAGCGCTTGAAGCACATTGCTAATAAAGATACCCTACTGATCCCACTTTTTCCATAACTACTCACCCAAATTAATTGAAATATACACAACTCATAAAAAGGAAAATATAATTTGTGGAATATAAACCATACATAAAAAGGCAAATGGAATTTTGACACAGCAATAGATTGCATCGTGTATATCTTAATAATCTCAATAGCATCTAACTCCTTTGTCTTGTCCAGTCAATTCCTCAAAACTCCAATCTCTTCTCATCCCACTACTTCTTATCAATTTTGGTCCAATATCCCCAGCACTATTCGTGCGTCTATGATGTTCTGCCTTAATCTTGGCCATAGCCGCACCTAGACGTTGGGGTGGAGACAGTTTTCCTGACCAAGTTCTATCAACTTGTAAAGGAACTTTCCTATGAGACTTTATTTCAGGGTTATGATACTCTTTATCAGAATTTACCCTTTCAAGGATGTGGCCGCATGTGAGACAATTTAGACTCATGATCCCAGGTAACCTAATCCAACTCCTCCCTTAAAGGGTGGCTTGCGTTTATAAATTATATCAATGAGTTAACATTGAAGAAAACATTACGTGTTGGTAGAGAAGAATTTGAAACTAATCACAACAACTTGTTGCTGTGTTCTAGCATGAATTTCTGATCCGCAAAAATAGCTTCACCTTTAGTTCCTAATTTGGATTATATGTGGTTGTGTGTATTCTTGACCAATAAATCATTGACTCTGTTGTCCTTTGCTTTCTACGAGGGACTCGCCTTAGTGCCTTGAAGATGTTATCCCATTATACGCATGACACTCTTCATTCTTATTTCTTAATTAATATCTTTAAAATATTGATTAAAAATTAATGAATACTTTTTATATAAAGATAAATTAAAAATATATTAATAATATTCTTATTGTTTTCACTCTTCAACTAATATTTTACGAGTACTGATTAATATATTTTTAATTAAAAATTCTTTTTTCTTGTCTAAAAAATCATTTACTTATGTTATATCTTATGTAATTAGCGTCAAATTTTATATTCTTTTGTCATTTAGAGTGCTAAACTTAGATGGTTGACAGTTTGGCACAACTCAAATCTATGATTGTACATCTTCGTATCTAGCTCTAACACTTTAAATGCTTTTATAACATGAAAAAGCTTCGTGGCTATCAAATATTAATTAGATCACTATACATAGATGGAAAAGTATAGAGAGAAATAAATGAAAATATACAACAATCATAGAACAAGAACCAATTCGAATTTCTATTAAACCATTACTGGTTTTTTTATATAACTATAGTCCTAACACTGTATTTTACAAAAGTAAAGTCCAACAAATATTTATAGCTGTGTTTGAATAGGAAAAATAAAACTTTAGAGAATATAAAATTTTAAATTATATTATTCAGTTATAACTATTTTTTAATATTGTTTAAATAAAGTAATTAAATTATTTTTATTCAATTTTATAAATTTATAAATCAATATTTAAAATAAATACATATCATTGTTAACTTTGAATAGAAACTTTATTAATATTATTACAGTCCCCAAAATAAGTTAGACCGTGATAGAGTAATTTTTTCCCTTACAATCTAATTACGAGTATTATTCTAAAACGGATCAGCTTTCTTTTCTTTCTTCATTTTCATTATCTGAAAATATTTGTAATAGTAAGTATTTTTCTCCTTGTAACATCCTTACTATAATTTAAATAATTTTCTTAATAATATATAAAAATTGAATAAAACTTAATAGAAATTGTAAAGGTTTTGAATAGCTTCGGATAGTTGTATAGATATATGAATATAAACGGATAAAAGTTAGCAAGTTTTGAAAATTGTATAAATAAAAATCTCATTTGTGATAAGAATAAAAATGTTTCATAACTTAAATTTATAGCTAAAATGAAGGCTAAAATTTCATATTATATGTATATATAATTTGAGTTCATGATACAAACAAATTAATTTTTTTTTTAGTAAATTAAATTTCTAACTAAAACTGAATATAAATTAAAGTTTAAAACAATTAACTACCAAGTATTACATATACACCTTAAATCACCATTTACAATAGGGTTTATCAAAGTATTATAAATTCTAAATGGAAATGGAAACATTCTCGTTTTTATATTTATTATTATACCATTGAATGTTGGCTGTATTTGTGAAGTTATTTGAACTTTAGAGAGTTTAAATGATGAAAGTTATAGGATATCTCGTGTGACACCCTTACTACTTACTAAGCAATAAATATAAATACAATCATAAAATAACCAAGCAGTAAGAACATCACATTGCATGGGTCTATATCTATTCAGATATAGTGAAATTAAATACACTACTATTACTAGAAGTCTTCACATTTCATATATACACATCATCTGTTAATTAATACAATCATCAAGTTATCTAAATATATACATAACTGAATTACATACAAAATAAAGTGGGGTCACGATATCAGAGACGACAACCCAAAACGAAGACCTCATGAGCTTTCCCCTAGATCCATGATCACCAAAGTGCCCATTTCCTCCCAAAATTCAACAACGGTAAGGTTAGACTTCCTATATACCCCTTTTCTTTTAGTCAAAAGTACTTACACCTACGTATATGTATAGATTATCCCTTACTCGACTCTAACCTACTCTCCTTTTCCACTAGATTCCTACTCAGAGGAGGCAAAATTAGGAAGGAGTCCTGCTTGAGAAGCAGTCCTCTTTCTTCCGATAGCAGAAGAGGTGTTTGAGCAGTGAGAAGAATCAGGAGAGTTTGAAGAACTAGAGGAAGACGAAGAGGAAGTGGATGAGATAGAGATAGGTCTTGCTAAAAGTGTGTCAACTAAATTAGTCCGTTCAACAGGTGGTAAATATGGTATAGAAGGACGTAAAGGTCTAAGAAAACCTGGGGGTAATACCGGGGTGATAATACAGGGACAGGAGGTGGGGTAGGGGGTCTCACAAACTGTACATCTGGAGGAAATGGAAAAGTAAGTCTCATGGGTACTCGGATGAGGATAGGGTAAGCTCGTGGACCTGGCCCATTTCTATCTAACAAAAAGGTAATAGAGCCAGTGTGGGTGAATCGTTGTTGCTCCCAGTCGTGCACCTATCTTCCCTCGGGATCATATCTGATCGAGACGCTGAATTGGTACGGTGGTCGAGCCATCAATGTTCTCACCTAATAAATATATTTGCACACAACACACATAACAATAAAAGGGTGAGACAATTCGATTCAATTTCCAGCAGCAAAAGACATATAAGGGTTTCAATCATGCAATTAATTATCAACACCCATAATCTACCAAGCAAATGCATATGCCATGAACGAGAAGTGATGCAAGTCCATTATTATAACTTAGTACATTTTGACACATGCATGTGGATCCAGAACCATCAATCTGTTTCTTTTACGCAGGGAAGGATTAGGAGTTTCACTGTTACTTAACTGCCAACTTTGTTAATCTCATAATATAGTAACAGCTCTACTAATACAAGAATATCTCGGGACCAGTCAGGATAGTAAAGTTTTGCAATGAGAGTCCACAGCACAAGGTGGCGAGCCTTGGCCACTATCAGATTCAATCACACGTCACTATCCCCAAGACTACCCTGGAGCCGCCCCTAGATTTCTTATACTTCCCTGTCCACTCATCACACTATCACATGTTCATGATGCATGTCTTCACTCCTAATTAATGTAATTAGAGAAAAATTTTAATTTTTCTTTTCTGTTAAGTACAATCCTTAACTTTTTCTTTTCTCAATGAAATTCGACAGAGTCTCCTCTGTAAATCAGATATTCCAAAATTTTCTTCTTCCTGTAAAACAACTAGAAAAATCCAGAATACTTCTAATTCATTAAATTCCACCTCCATCACCTCAAAATCCATGGAAATCATACCTCTTTCTTTAAACAAGAATATTTACACAAGCACATAATGAGAATTCAACCAATTATAAAGAAATAATTCAATACAGCACTTCAACCATAAATCATTCCAATACATTAATTTAAATAGACAAAAGACTTTACATATAAGGGAGAGTCCTTGTTCAATCAATTTCCTGGTCTAAGGCAACCTTTCACACATGTCAAGTACTATAACAAAATCTTCTAAAAATTGTGGGAGAGGTCTAAAACAACCCAAATTCATTTTATTTGATTAGAACAATAGAGAATCATTCCCTTATGGTTGTTAATGCCACCTATTGAAATGAAATCATCCCACCCTTTACCTTATGGATGTTCTTTGATGAAGGAATGGATGAAATTTTTTTTTTCTGATTCTTTAGAAAAACTCGAACAATCCAATCTTTGAAACGATCAACCTAATCAATTAATCATGCCTAAACGTAATTAATACTAAGGAGATGCTAAGTTTATACTCTTATATGTATATGTAAAAATTGAAATTTTCTAACTTTTGCTATAAAAGTCCGATTAACACAAAATTAGTTTCTATGATCTAACTAATATAAAAGGAATAAAATGGAATTGAAAAACACTCACTTCACCTTCTCTAAAACCACATGGTAGCCAACCCTTGTGAGGGTTTAGTGCTTTTTAATCACATTTTTGAAAAACTAATTATGTAAACAATATAAGCCATGCATAGTCTACATATAGTACAAAAGAAAGCAAGTTTAAAAACCAATAATTTTGAAGCAAAGTAAGACCCATTTTTACTGTTCATGACAGCCAAAAACAGGGAAAAATTAAAATTTTAATCGGATGAAATGATAATTAACAAGTAATTAAGCTTAATTAAGGATATATATTAAAAACATACCTTAAAACAAGCTTAAATGAGTGGAAGAAAATGAAAATGGTGAAAGGGAGAAGAAGGGGTTATGGACTTGGAGAAGAAGAAGGTTCACGTAAGAAAGTGGTCAATTTAGTCAAATAGGTAAAGAAATAATAATATAATAATAAATTATTTTGCTATTTTAATGTAATTAACTAAAATAATTATGAATAAAACTCAAAAATAAAAATAATTTATGCCAAACAATTAAAATAATTATAACATAATTTTTGACATCAATATCTCCTTGGTTATCACTTAAAAGGAAAAAGAAAAAGAAAACTAATCACACAGTTCCTGTGAACACATAAAACAGTATCAATCAAAAATTCAAAAATAAGCAATAATTACCAAAATAATTATTTTTACACTCCAAATATTATTTCTAATTAAAATATAAATTTTTATTATTTAAAATAATTCTTCTGGATTAAAAATGCTATTTTATCCTCAAAGAGCAATTTTAACCAGTATAAACGAGCATTTTTTCCCAAAAATTGAAGAATTATAATCTAAATTATAACTATATTAACAAATTAACTATTTAGGAAAAACGAGGATGTTACATCTCGCTGTAGCGAGATAACTCTCGTTGTGGCAAGAAAGAGTGTCCAGAATCAGGCTTCTGATGCTCTGTCACTATAGTGAGGACCTCTCGCTGTAACTAGAATGACAAA